TAATGTAAAATTTAAGAAAATGTTTTTATTTTTATTAAAATGGAAAAGAAAAAAAAAATACATAAAACAAAATTTATTAAAAAATATTATTAAAACAAAAAAAAAAACAAACCCGTTTTTATTTATTTCGTTAACCCTTTTTTTACAAAAACAAAAATACATATTTTATAACATATGCATATCTTGATACATATAATACATATTTCAATTATTTCAATTTTACAAAGTAAATACACAATTTATTGTTGTAAATCTATAAAATTATTCTAATATTTCATTTACACAAAACCAAAAAAAAAATAATAAATTTGCCATTTTAATGCCGGCTCGAAAACTGTTTACAAATTTTCATTTAAATATTTTTTATGCTATTCAATTACTGCCAATTTTTGAAATTTAAGATGTAATTGAAAGCAAAATATTTAAAATATTATTTTCTTCATTTCATTTCTTTTTTTAAATATAATACAACAAAATTTTCTTAATTATGCAATATCAAATTCAAATCTTTAAAACAAAGTATGAATTTATTCATAATTGATTTATTATTTACAATAATATTAAATTACATAATAAATTTAAGTATGAAAATAGCAGAGATTATATTCATACATAATTTATTCTTTAAAAGTTTAATGATCATTTTCAAATGGGATTTCACTACACAATAATATGCAAAAAATCAAACTACTTCTGTTAATTTTAATTGCATTAAATCTTGAATTAAATTGCTTCTCAGCCTATTTGATAACCTAGTTCTGACTTCACTGAACATTTTTTTTTAAAGAAGAATTTTATAGCTTATTTCTAAAGCGTTTGAACTTTTTTGTTATTGTACGCGTTATGTTTCACTTACAAGCTCTTTCAATATATATTATATTTAAATATTACAATGGTTAGGTTCAATTTTTCTTTGACTAAACACACATTGTATACATATACCATGATTATATGTAAATGAAAAAAAAGAAGTTACATAAAAATATCTACACAATTCGAATGAAACTAGCTGCCTTCCTGACAGTACAAGAAAACAAAAGAAAAAAAAATTAAAAAATAATATAAAATATTGTAAGTATAAAAATTATAACTTTGAAAAGAATAAAACAGAGCAAAATTTTAATAGATTAATAAAAATTGAATATTACATAAAATAACAATATAAAAAAAATATTAACAAAATTATAATTAAAAAAATTTTTTTTCTCTTTATTATTGTTTTAATTAACTCAGGGAAATATAAAAATATATAAAAAAAGGCATGTAAAATAAAAAACAAAATTGAAGTAAAATAATTTAAAACATAATAAATACTTGTAAAGAAATATGCATTTACAATTTAACAAATTCTACACAGTGTATTGGAATAATTCCGAATTAATTATTGATTTTTTATTGACAAAAATTATTATATTAGATTAAAGATTAATTATAGTTCAATATAGTTTATTTGAATTAATATTGTTTTGATACCAATAAGAAAAAGGAACATTAAGTTCAAAATATTTGATATTTTTTTTCGCTTAAATTTCTGATTAAAAATGGAAAACATTGTACCAACAATGAATCCAAATACAAATTTGGAAATGTGAAAATTAAATTTTCGGAATCATTCCTCTAACTATTAACAAAAAAGAGTATAGGTACATTTTTTTTTTAATTTTGCTTCGCAAATGTAATTTATCTCGTAATCAAAAAGTGTTAAAAAACACTAATTTATATAACACTAAATATTAATCGATCATGTCTCAAATACGAAACCAAGCACATTAAATATAAATCACTTTATATTTTATGTAATTCATAATTTTTTAAATAATTAAAGTAAACTTAAAGTACATAGGTACATATACCTAAATTATTATGTATATCTGAAGTTCATTAATGTTTTGTACTTTAAAAGTTTAAAATTTAAATTCAATTCTTTTGAACAAAAACTTTTTGTCAACAATACTTAAACATATCTGAAGAAATTAAAAAGTGCCCGGAACCAATTAAATTCGGTCGTCACTTACACTATTTATGTCAGTACTAATACTACCTATGAAATCTAAAAAGAAAATATATAAGGTTATATTAGATTCAATTAATACAATTTCTACCAAAATTGCCATTTATCAAATATATATTGTATGTATATTAAATATAACGAGATAAATTTCATTTGTTTCGAAGTTTATTTTACTTATAAAAAAAAATTACTAATATGCAATTATATCAAAATAAGGGCCATTATATTTTCCTTTAAAAAATTTTAATTGTTTTCTCAAATCAAAAATTCGCCCATTTGAAAAAAAAATTATAATTATTTTTAAATGTAAATATAAATTTTATTTTTTAATAATTTCATTTTTGTATTCTATAATTCAAATTGTATATACATATGATTTATATACATATATATCTATATATATATGCACAAATATATGTAATATATAGATATATATATATATATCTTTTTTCTTAATAATATGAAGTTGATCTTTATTGTATCATAAAATAAAATTTATATATAAATAAAAAAAAATTAACAAGTCTATTAAATCATATTTAAAAATTGTAAAGTAATAATATCTCAGGTAAATTATAAGTGAAATAAATAAGAATTTGGGTAGAAATTAAAATTTCATTACACAAATTAAAATTAATTTAAAAAAATAATTAAATTAAATTATAAATGTATCAACTAATAATAGTAATTTAAATAAAAGAAAAGGACAAAGTCTAAAAATTCAAGATAATATCTATCTATTACTTATTTGTAAATTGTAATGAAATTTAATATAATTATTATATAATGATTTTAATTATGTATATCGTATAACAATTGTAAATTTAATATATCATTTCAGAAAACAAAAAGAAAAAAGAAAAAAAAATAAACAAAAAAAAAAAGAAAATATTTAAAAATTCATATCTCTCAAACAAGTGTTTAATTTTATTAAGTTTTTCTCCGAACCTAAAAGAATCTCCCTAAAAGAATCTAATGAAAATTCTAATCTTGATCAATTCACTAATAATCGAAACAGAAAAGTTGAATAAATATTGAAAATATTGGAACAGCGTTTGAATAAATCAACAATAGGTACATAGGTAGGTATCTAAATGTTATTTTTCACTTTCACATCAATCTATTAAGAATGATCTAATTAAATCTAATAAGTATGTCTAATCAAAATGTATTCTAGATACATAAAATGTTCGAAATTTTAATAATTTAGACAATTTTTAAGGGAAAACAGAAAGGCGAAAAGAAAGACTATAAATATGGGGCGACTGGTTAGCTTACATCATATAATATGGATATAGTTGAACTCCAAATTTTTACATGTATAATCGGACGTGTACATTACGCACTATATAGGTGGGTGAATATATGTACATATGGATGTAGGCACCTACAATAAATAATAATAAATTTTGAAACATATAATAGCACAAATCATTTATTCATTTGTAAACGAGTATTATATCTACAATGTTAATATTTAGGTTTTGATTTCAAAATTACTAAAAAAAATTTTCCAATATTACATGCTAAAGCGGATTAAGTACAAAAGTGTTACTACATAATTAAATACATACATAACATACATAAATGCTTACATGTGGGAAATTATCTTTAAAATAAAAGATTCATCACAAATCATGTAAATTTCATCATTCCTTGCTTCTTTATATTTGAAAAATTGGCTTGAAATTTGAATTTCCTCTATTTTTAATTCCACTAAGCAAGTCACTGGTCCATAAAATTCTTTTGTAAGAATTTTATTTCTCCAGTAGAATAAGACCAAAATGCTTTTTCTATGAACTCTTTAAACATTTATCCGTTATACTTAAGTTAATTCAAAACAAAATCATAAAATTTGATCAACAAAATTTTAATAATAATAAAATCCTATATTGTTTGATTTTTTATTTCTCTGGGTCTTCATTACGCTTCTCATTCTTTTAAAAATTACAAAATTATCGTAGCTTACACAATTTTTTAATGATACCGTAATCGCGGCTTTTATGCTATGTATATTCCTTGAAGCATATATAGAAGCTTATGTGCTTCATCGATGGCAATAGGCTGTCATTAAGTTTGAAAAGAAACGACAGCACTTGACAAAATTAACTGAAATCTAATATGTTTAGTAAAGCGTTATGACTGCCTCTATATCAAAAAAAAATTTAAAAATCTAAAATAATTAAAGTATTGAATATTTTATGTATTGCTCTAATTTTGTTTTTATATTTAGTACATATATATAAAATACATGTATTTGCAAATATTTCACGTTTGTGATACAAGATAAACACTTAGTGTATATGTTTATCTATAATGATGTATGATAATGCAAATTCGAAGCTATTTGATTTCTAAAATTGATTACGATTTTAGTAGTTTTTCTATACTCATTCTGTTTCTCATCTTTTTCTGTTTAAAAAAATACAACTGAAAAATACAATTACGAAATAATTATTCTATTGATTATTAATTACTTTTATGTAATATAATATTATGCTACATGAATTTATAACTAATATAGATTATAGAACCAATTTTTTAATACAGCAGAAGAAGACGGAAGAATATTATGCAATACCATTTCAGTAATTGAAAGCGTCATCTCCCTCATAATTAACATAATGACTTGTCCAATTATTTCTAAAAATAAAAGTAATAAATGTGATAAACAACACGATATTATAAAGCAAATTGACATTTCAATACCTGGAAACATTTCAATATTTGCCTAATAAATTCATTCCATGAAATGTCATACTGTCAGTATTAAACATAACCTTACTGTTTGTATTTTAAACAGCGAAGTAATAACAAAATGGGAACTACACCAGATATGAGTGACATTATATTAGCAAAATAGTTCTAAATTTTCCTACGAAAGCGCCACTATTGTATGCACTTTCTATTGTAAAAGCTTATTGTGAATTAAATCAATTGTCATTTCTGTTCAAACGTCAGTTTGAGTGAAAAATTGTAATAACTGTCATTTGTCATAATAAAATAATAAAATAAACTTTTCATTTTATACAAAAATTCGGGAAATATTTTTTTGAACATATCAAATCGCTAAAAAATGTTAGAAGGTTGGTACTGTAGAACTTTAAATGAGCAAGCTTCTCAAAATCAACCAAATGAAGATGATTCTTCAGACGAAGATAGTCAAAATGAAAATGAAGGACCGCCGGCTTATAACAATAATCATGATATCGATTATAAATCGCAGTACAAATATTTAAAACAGAAACTAAAATATTTAATATATGTACGTAAATTATTTTATAAATTTATTTACATAAACACTTATAGAATTATAAAAAATATAGGAAAACGAATCTTTTCAAGACGCCTTACGTTCAAGCCAAAGACGTTTGTTAAAAATATCGCGCGATAGGTCATTTTTACTAGATCGTTTACTACAATATGAACGTCCATCTGGTTCAGAAACCGAAGAAACGGAATCTTCAGGTGATGAAAATTTAAAAAATGAATCCAAAAAACGTAAGGTAGATGAGAATGCTGTGAAAACCACAACGGCAGGTTCTGGCCGAGGGCGAAAACGAAAAAATGCTCAACAGCCTTCAAAACCAAAAGTAATGATAACCTCTAATAACAACAGTATTCTAAATAACTCAACAAATGAAGGACATGTAACTACAGAAGAAGTGGAACGTCATCTTCAATCAAGACAGTTCATGGAATTACCAGAACGAGCACCGCCTACAGTGCCAAATGAAATGTTTAGTAACGAACCGTCTTTAGATAGGTATGAATAATTTTCAAGTTTCCAACTAGATGAATATTTAACAAGATATTCATTTTTAGTGAATCAAATGATCCTACAGTAGAAACATCTCCAAGCAATGTTGGGGAAGATTGCATAAATAACGAAAATATGACAAGAAATGAATTCAATAGTTGAAAGATGTTTTCATAATATAGATATTAAATTAATATTCTTCACAAGACTTATATTCTATTGAATATTTTGATATTTCAAGATCTTAGACAGGAAGATCGAGTAAAAACAACTGTGAAGAAGTATTATTTATGGAGGTTTTAAATAAATTTCTAAAATTAGAAAAAGTTTTTATAATTTATTTCGGTGCTTGACAAAAGCTCTAGCCTACAGTCTATGCTTAATTAAATTAATTTATCAAAATATTAATATACCATCATATTATACCAAATTTGTTAAAAAATATATGACTTATGCCATTATCATTTTATTGAAACAGTCTCGGATGCTCGCCAAATCGCCAAAACATTTCAGCTACTTCGGGTGTTACTCCAGTACTACTGTTATTGCCACTGTTGTTACTATTATCGTTACTGCTCGCTGGTGCTTCTATTGTACTATTTATCTCATCGTTTTTTTCTATAATGGGCTTATCTAAGATAGACTTAGATTGCACGAACGGTTTAACATCCGAATCATCTTCACTTTCGGTATTCGCCGTATCGTATTCCTCTCCATTGCCGTCAGCATCATTCGTTAAATTATCACCATTTGGATACATACCTTTCATTTTACATTTTCGTCTATGCCTTTTCAGTGTTTGTAAAACATTATGTCGTTGTGGTAATTGTTCTCTTAATACTAATGGAACATTTGCTAAAACACTATTATATACTTTAACTGGACCTTCAGTAGTTGTAGCTATTTTCTGTTTCATTCGGTCAATTATTTCAACAATTTCAGGCGGGTAAATTTTCTGTGGTTGCAAATGAACTCCGCTATGATCTATTGGTCGAAATTTTCGCCGATGACGTTTAATTATCATTATAATAGCTTCTTTAGTTGGCAAAACAGCTTTTAATTCTTTCGGTAAGTTCTGAATAAATTCACTAAAATAAAATATTGTATTACAACTTTAATATAAAACTTAATGGCATATGTATAGCTACTTATATATTTTTTTAGGACCATCGTCAGAATTTAAAGCTCTTTCTTTGACACGATTCATTACATCAGCAATTTCTTTTTGATTACCAGCTTTTGCTAAATGATTATGTGGTCGGGTAGTACGCAAAAAATGTTTATCATTTGCATCAGCTGTAGTGGTAGCGCAACCTTTACATTTCCCTGAATGTTTTTCCTCACAAGTCCAATAGTGTACATTATTTTTTATTGCATTTTTAACATATAAATACCCATTTAAATTTAATTTTCTTGTGCCTTTATGGCATATTACAACTTCAACTTCAGAGCCTGGTTCCACGAATGGTTCATGAAAATGGTTTTCTAATGAACCTTCTACTTTTTGTGTTACTGATTTTGTTGGTAATTCATTTATTTTTTTTCTAATACGATTTATCATATGTAAAATATTTTCACGATGTGGTAATTTTTTCTTAATTTCATCAGACAGATTTGAAAATTCTTCATCAAATATTTTTGTTGAAAGATCGTTCGTTGTAGTTGCACGTTTCTTGATTTTTGATATTAAATGAGCAATTTCTATTCGAGATTCGTCTGCCGGATGGTTATGGTTTTGAGCCTTTTTTAAGTAATGTTTACCGTTTTTAATGTATGTTGTAGCATAAGCTCTACAACTTGGTACCCCAGGTTTTTGATCATCACAACGCCATTTATGTATATCATTAACAATTTTGTTTCGAACAAATAAATAACCTGAAATTTTTTGAAAATATTGTTTTTAGTAAAGCACAATAAAATGTATTTAATATAGTTTGTAATTATTTATTATTTAATAAACCTAACGTTCTTATTTATTTAATAGAATACCATTATTATATAATGAGCACGTATTTAAATTGTTTTAATCTTTTTGAATATACAAAACGGACTGAAAATTAAAAAATGAAAATTTTCGAAAATTGAAAATGAATAAAAGAAAAGTATTTATTGCCATCAAAATTCTCTTGGGTGTTGAGTATTCTGCTATATTAATTTTAGTACCGGTTAACCACGACTCATCAAGTATTTAACTGAACTATCCTCTAAAATTTCTTGCTTAATTTGAATAATAAGGTATATTGTTTTATAGTTTTATTTTTTTTTTCATTTACTAATATTTTGTGCCGTGACTCATTAGATGTAATATAATACAATAATGGTAAATCCCGAATACATATTATTTCTGAACCGTTTGAACGCTTGTATGTATAGACAATCGAGTTTTAATGAATTTGCAAGAAAAGATCTTAGAAATATTTGTTTTATAAAATTACAAGTATTTACACAATTATAGGTGCTTATATATAGGTATAATTTATACAAATAACTTAATCATTACATTAATATTTTTAAAACTTTATTGAAACAGAATTGTAAATAACTTACTTTAGGCTTTGATTTGATAGTGGTGCAAATAATATTTTATATAACACACTTACAACATCGTGATTTTACCTAGCCGTCATTGAATCACTTTAACTTTCATATAGTACATTATTAAAAATTTAAGTAATCGCAATTAAAACAATGCTTCTATATTCAATTAAAAATGACAAAGAAATACTATTGTTTTACATCACGCCAACTTAGCAATACACACATATTTAATTCATTTTATCATGCAAACTAGCAATACTTATATTATGTCCAATAGAATGGTCAAATATAATTTTAGTTACATGTAGAATATGATGTATTCCATAACAATTAAAATAACTCGTGATAAACAATTTATTGTGATGACCTGAATAAGTTTTAAATAAAGAAAAAAGAATATAAAACAACCGTAATAACACTGAAATATCAAGCAATATCGATTTATAGCTTAAAATTGTGCAGATTTAATCCTACGTATGTATCCAGTAAGAAAACCAGAAAAGAAGTGTAATTTTTTAAAATAATTAAAAATAAAGAAAACTTCTTTTAATTCAAGAAAAACCCTTTATTTGTGGTAATATTTAGTGTACAACATATAAACTTTATCAAAACTGGTTTTTTGACGAAAATTAAGAAGTGCTCTTTATTTGAAAATGTTTAATAGATTATGTTTATGTTACAATTTAATATATGTATCTACGAAATCAATTTGCTTAGCTTTGTTTTACTAAAATAAACAACAAAGGTCTCATTTTAATTTTAGAAAAAATTTATTTGATATTCATTTGTTTTTTTTAGTTATTGTACATCTAATTTACCAATACATATGTAATTCAAAATGGTCTTGGATTCAAGATAAAATAATTCTATGCAGATAATTCTGACCTCCGCATAAACTCACAAGTTGATACTTGCTATTTACCTTTAAGCAATTTTTTTATTTTAATCGTAAAATATGTATGTATATCAAAAATTATTATAATTCATGCTATGACTAAATATGGAAGTATAGTAAAATTAGAAGAGAATGGTTTTAAGTAAGTTTTAAACAAATTTTTAATTTTCGAAAATGTTTTTGCAGCAGTTAAGTACAGTAAATTCTAACAAATTATTATTAAATCAGGTCGGATATATAACTGATAATTCACTTATAAAAGTCGATTTGTGATAAATCGAAATATTTCAATTGTTAATAATATCCATTTTTGACTTAGTACACACACAATTTGATCAAAACTTTTGATATTTCGACTTAGTACAACACAACTTTCATAATTGAGTTCCAAGATTATAGATCAATTGTTGAAGAAATCATGCTATTGTAATAGCATGTTTACAATAACATGATTTGTCCAAAAATTGATCTACAATCTTGGAACTCAATTATAGTATTTATATTTTCTTTCTAATAAATCAATAAGAAATTAATTATTTCTTGCTCCTTACTTTAATTGATTTTAATTTGCAAAATACTAAAGGAATAACATTAATTAATAAAATTTTGCAATTCATTTTATTTATCCTACTTTTTTCGTTAATATAATGTATAACAAATATATAAACTATACTATAATTTTTGTATTATTAAAATAATGAATTTTCCTTTTATATTTCTATTTCTTAATTAAATTATTAAAATAAAATAATTATATAACATTAGTTAAATGATTAACTTATTCAATTTATTAATATGTTATTTTTTATATTAGAATTTTCTTTTTCGATATCATTAATGTTACTTTCATTATTACTATTATTATTATTATTGTTATATTGTAAAAATATTGTTGAAAATGTTTTATTAATTTCTTTAAAATTTTCATTATTTTCATTATCATATTTTTCATTTAAATTATTATTAATAGAATAATAATTATTATCATCCGAATCATTAATTTTATTATAATTAATTTCATAATTTTTATTTAATTCTTTTTTAGCGCGTCTTTTTCGTAATTTTAACATTTGTAAAATATTTTCACGTTTTGGTAATTTCTCTAAAATTTCTTTTGATAAACTTGCTATTTCTGTATTATAAACTTTTGTTGGACCTTCCATTGTTTTTGATATTTTATCTTTCATACGTTTTATTATTTCTTGAACTTCACCTGTATATGATTTTGGTTTTTCAATACCACTTTGATCAATTGGACGATATTTCATTCGATAGCGTTTTATTGTTAATACAATTGCTCGATAATTTGGTAACATTATTTGTTTATTTTTTGGTAATTTACCAATAATATCTGTATAAATAACTTTTGGTGAATCATCACATGATAATGATCTTTCTTTAATATTTTGTATTATTTCAGCAATTTCTTTTTGATTATCTAATTTTGCTAAATGATTGTGTGGTTTACTCGTTTCCAAAAAATATTTCCCATTTTTTTCAATTGTAATTGCACTTCCTCTACAATCACCATATTTCTTTTTTTCACAGCACCAATATGTTTTTGTATTTTTTTGATTTTGTCGCGTAAATAAAAAACCATTTAAATTGAGTTTTTTTGTACCACGTGAACTAGTCATAATTTCAACTTCAGCTCCGGATTCAACAAATGGTTCATGAACATGATTCATTTTAATTGATTCTTTTTTATTTTTAAAATTATTTAATTTTACTTTTGTTTCAGCATTACGATAATATTCTAATAATTGTAAAATATTTTCATATTTTGGTAATTTTTGACGATTTTCTTCACTTAATTTTAAATATATTTTATTATAAATCTTTTCAATAGGAGTTTTTCTTTCATTTAAAACATAATTTTTCATTAAATTAATTGCATTAATTATTTCAATATTTTTAATATCAGCCGGATGATTATGATTTTTAATTTTATTAGTCTTTTTCAAATAATGTTTACCATCTTTAATATAGGTTTGTATGAACGCTGAACAATTGAAAGTATCGTTACCACGTTCTGTGCAACGCCATTTACGATGTTTAGTTGTGATTGCTTCTCTCTCATAAACAAAACCTGGAATTTTTGTTTTTTTTTTTACATTTTGTATGTAAATTGAATTAATTATATGTGTGTGTAGAACGTTTTCAAAAGTTTTCTGAAATATTAATTTTTAAAATAAATTTTTCTTCACATTGGTGTGGAGTTCACATTGTGATTGAGTTTCTACGGCATTATGGTTCAAACATAATTTCGGTTTGAATTCAAAAACCACATAAAACTTACTCATGTTTATATTTTTGTAAAAATCTCTAATACAAGAGACATCAATTATTTGTCTTTTATATTTGAAATTATTTGATAATTTTAAATTAAGTTTATATGTCAAACAAGATCCTTTTTATTTATTTCGAAAATTTTCAAGTTAATTAATCTATAAATAGATTTCTGGTCATACGACTTTCTTATAAAAATTTATGCCTTTTTAAATTGAAAAATAATAATTACAATTAGTTGGTTACAAAAAAAGGAAAGAAAATCTTTAGGTTTTACTAAAAATCAAACTTGTTAGGCTATATGTAAACTCTACATTATAATCTTGTAGTCAAACGAACAGACAAAAGTTATTCTGCTTTACTTTTTTAATAATATTTTAATTATTTAACATCATTTTTAATTAGTTCCAATCCAGTTAGCTCTATAATATTAGAAATGTAGTCAGTAATATTCTATTTTAATTTAAATTACATATTACATCATTTAAAATTACATATTATATCAGACTGTTTAATTAAATATTTTTTTATTAAATATTTTAACTTATTTAAGAATTGTTACCGGCGTCCTTGTACTTTGGAAAATCTTTTTTTGATCTTATATCTTTTCCCACTTTCGCATTATTTTTCGCAATTTTCGCAGCTCTCGTTTTAACACTATTTAATGATTTTAAAATATTTTTCCTTTTTGGCATCTTTAATAAAATATCTGATGATAATAATGGTATTACATCATTATAAACTTGCAATGGTGTCTCCAATGTTGATCTAATACGATCTCGCATACGTTGTAAAATACTTTCAACAACATCCAATTTTCTTACAAAATTTGGACGAGTTTTTTTACGAATAAGACGTAATGCACGTGTTGTTACATCTTTTTTTGGTATTTTACTACGAATATCATATGGTAGATCTTTTACTAAATTATCAAAAATTTTTGCTATACTTTCATCTGTTTGTTTTGCTCTCTCTTTCATTTTCATCATAACTTCTGTTATTTCAGGGGGATCTGTATCATGTGGTGCAAGATGATTATGTGGTCTTGTACTTTTTAAGTAATGTTTACCATTTTTTTCAGTTGTAATTGCATTACCACGGCATACAACAACGCCGTTTTTCCTTGGACATACCCAAAAAATTGAATTTAATTTTACATTTTTTCTTACTAAAAGAAAACCATTTAAATTTAATTTTGTTGCACCTTTATGATTAACATTAATTTCAACCTCACTTCCTGGTTCAACAAATGGATCATGAATATGATCAGATAATATATTAGTCGTTTTCAATTCATTATTTTGTTCACTTCCAGTTATTTTTTGGGTTTGTCTCCTTTTTAAATTTCGTATATAATTTAAATAACGTCTTACTCTTTTTTTATTAGGTGGATGATTATGATTATTAACTTCTTTTAAGTAATGTTTACCATCCTTTCTATAAGTTTTAGCATAACCATTACAATTCCAGTTACCCCTTTTCTTGTCCATGCAGATCCATACAAGTAAGTCATTTTCACAACTATCACGAACATAAAAATATCCTGGAAAACGTATTTGTTTTTTTTTATTTTTTATATTTTCAAAACTATTGTAAATAAAATTGCATAGAATATTTATTTTTTTAACTATTCAGACGTTTTCAAAAAGAAATTTTCCTCTCTAATCGCTATTTCAAATATCGATAAAATCCAAAAATTGTTCGATCACCAATCGATTATGTTGTACTTTCATTATACAATAGAAAATTTAACAATTCCTCAGGGTTGTACCCTTAGAAATTAAAATATAGCTTTATATTTAAATAGTTTTAACTACTTTATGGTTTTTTTTTTAAATTCACGTAGTAATTTTACAATTTAAAATGACAATCTTTTAAAATATACGCTTACATCTTCTTCCAGCGCTGGATAAGTGGAAAATACGTGTGTAAAATGCAAAATATGTTTTAAATTCAATTCAAATCTGTTTTAAGTGGTCATTTACAGAAACCGCAAATTCTTTAACGTCAAAATTTTGTTTTCAGTCTGCAAACTGTCTGACGTATAAAACTTTCACGGACAGAAATGTAGTAAACTTTTTACCCGTAATTGACTTTGAATTTTGATCATCCGTAAGTGTCAAAACAAAAAAAAAAATTTTTTTAGATTTAAAATAATTTTATACTTACATATTAAAAATTAACAAAAAAAATATTTTTTATATTATTTTTAACGTAATGATAGTCACTCAATACATCAAATTTATTTACTGAATTACTACGTCAGACTGTCTGCATGTAAAAAAAAAATCTACAATTTTGACGCTTAATTGACTTTTTTTAAACATTTAAGAATTTAAACTTTGAATGAAAGTAAAAACGCAGTAGAGTATTCGTAAACTCAGACAACTCAGATTTTGTAAAATTTCACGTTTAAGAATTTATTAAAAGCCTGATTATCAGGAATTTATAAGGGATTGTAGACTTATTTGCGAATTGTGAAAATATTTTTGCATTTTTCTTAAGAATCGTAGCCAATTAAATATTTTTTTAAATTTCTTTTTACCTTTATTGTGTAAGTAAAAGTTTTATTTTCTTATATACTAACTAAATGTGATTATGGAAAGTGATTACTTATAACATAAATTTTATAGTACAGTATGAAATTAAATTAATTATTTAACAACTGCAAATTTTATATTTAAAATTTTAATTTAACATAATCGTTTTAATTACATATTTTCTGTTTTACTAGTCGAAGGAAAATTTTTTACAATTTTCATATTTAAATTATCTTTTTCATTATTATTATCATTTTCTTTAATATTATTTAGTGAGGGTTTTATATCAACTAGAGGTGTTTCAATAAAATCTTCACTATCTTTATTATTACGATCTTTTGCTCTTCGTTTACGATTTTTTAATGATTTTAAAACTTTTTCTCTTTTTGGCATCATTGATAAAATATTCGGTGGCACCCATGTTATTTCATCATTGTAAACTGTTGACGGTGTTTCCATTGTCAATGTTATACGATCTTTCATACGTTTTAAAACATCTTCAACTTCCGGTGGTAAAGTATCTTTTGGTTCTATTGCACCAATATCTATTGGACGATATTTCATTCGGAAATGTTTTAATGCACGTTTTGCTAAATCTTTCGTTGGTAATTTACTACGTATTTCATTTGGTAAATTTTTTACAGTATCATCAAAAATTTTTGCTACACTTTCATCTGTTTGTCTTGCTCTCTCTTTCATTCTCATCATAACTTCTGTTACTTCTGGTGGATCTGAATCACATGCAATATGATTATGTGGTTTAGTACTTTTTAAATAATGTTTACCATTTTTTTCAGTTGTAATTGCATTGCCATGACATTTAATTTTACCTTTTTTTCTTTGACATACCCAATAAATTGAATTTAATTTTATATTTTTTCTTACTAAAAGGAAACCATTTAAATTCAATTTTGTTGCCCCTTTATGATTAACATTGATTTCAACTTCAGTTCCAGGTTCTACAAATGGATCATGAATATGATCAATTAATGAATTAATATTATCACTTCTTGATCTTTTCATTGAATTTAATTCTGATAAGCCAGTAAATTCTGCATTTTGTTCGGTTTTTATTCTTTCTGCATTTGCTATTTCAGCTCGTATAGCTTTACGACGATGACGATTTAAAGTGTATACAACAGAATCCCGAAGTGGTAAACAAGCCAATAATTCATTTGAACAATTTGCAGTTTCTTCATCAAATATTTTTGTACAATGAGTTTGTCTATCTGTAATTGCACGCTCCTTCAACCGTTTCATTAAATGACATAAATCTAGCCTAATATTATTAGGCGGATGATTGTGACTTTTAGCTTGTTTTAAATAATGTTTTCCATCATCTTTTTCATAAGTTTGAGCATATCCACGACAATTCCGATGAACACCATTCTTTTTTTCCATACACACCCATATAATTAGGTCTTTGTAAAAACCTTCTCGAACGTATAAATATCCTGAAATACGCGTTTTTTTTTTTTCAAATTATTTCAAATCAAAATTCAAACATTATTTTGTTTTCTAATTTAATCAGACGTTTTCAAAAAGAAAATTTCTTTAATAATCCAAATTAAAAACCAACTTTAATAACAAAAAGAATTAACCACGACAGTACATTTTTACGAAAGCTTTCGTAATATTGGAAAGAAGTAATTCAAAATACTAGCTATTTAAAATATTTTTTCATTGAAGCATGCATCAGAAATTTTATTTGAGCTTAAAAGTAAAACAATTCAACTAATTTAATGACTTTTTTTTTGTTTTAAATAAATTTAATACAAAAATTCATTATAAATTAGATTATGGTTTATCGTCTAGGTGCTTTATATTCAGTGGCATTTTAAATTGTTTCTCTAAGAAGTCGCTTATTTACTAACACTTTCCGTTGACTTAACGATCTTAAGACTTTTGTTCTATTTGGCATCATTTCTAACACATTCGATGGCACCCATTTTATTTCATCATTATAAACTTCTTGTGGGGTTTCCATTGTTGATGAAATACGATCTCTCATACGTTTTAAAACTTGTTCTACTTCTGGTGGATTTGTTTTTTTGGGTTCACTACCACTCTCATCAAATGGACGATATTTGAGACGATAACGTCTTAATATACATTTTGCTAATTCTATTCTTGGTAATTTACTACGTAATTCATCTGGTAAGGTTTTTGCAGTATCATGAAATATTTTTGAAATACTTTCATCTGTCTGTCTTGCTTTCTCTTTCATTTGCTTCATAATTTCTGTTATTTCAGGTGGATCTGTGTCTTTTCCAATATGATTATGAGGTCTTGTACTTCTTAAATAATGTTTACCATTTCGTTCAAATGTTGTTGCAGTTCCTCGACACTTGTTACTATTTTGTCTTTGACATGACCAATTAACGACATGACCTTTAACATTTTTTCTTACCAATAGAAAATTATTTAAATATAATTTTGTTGTACCTTTATGGTTAACATTAACTTCAACTTCAGTACCTGGTTCAATAAATGGATCATGAATATGATCGTTTACTGTATTACTAACATCAATCTGAGGTTTTTCTACAGCTGATATTTTTGATGATATTGGCGAAATATAATCTGAGTGATCATCTTCTTTTTTCATATTTTCTAATTTTAGTTTTTCATCACGAATTGCTTTCCTTCTATAAGAATATAATGTATGTAACACAGAACTACGTGCAGGTAAACATTGTAATACATCTTCTGAATAATTTGCTGTTTCTTCTTTAAATATTAGAGCACATTGAGTTGCCATTTCAGTAAAAGCACGTACTTTCATTCGATTTATAATACGACATGTTTCAAGACGTGTTTCATTAGGTGGATGATTATGACTTCTAGCTTGTTTCAAATAATGTTTCCCATTTTTTTCGTATGTTTGTGCAAAGCCAAAACAATTTTTATATACGCCTAGTTTTCTTTCAACACACACCCATGACATGTGTGTCCGTCTTGAAAGATAACTGGGTGTTCTATTATAAAATGTGTCACGATAATATAAATATCCTGAAAAACGGATTTTTTTTTATAAATTACAAATTGGTACATTATTTTTTTTCTAATTTACACAGACGTTTTCAAAAGAAAATTTTCTTTCATAATAAAAGTTTAAACAAAAGCTCAAACAAAAACCAAAACAGGAGAATTTTCCATGTGGCGGTTTTTAATTAAGAATTCCAAACTTTAAACAAAGCAATCTGTTATTGAAATTAACAAAAATTAGAAGAAAAATAGTAATTGCTAACTAAATTCAATTTAAAACTTCGTATTTTCTAAAAAAAATATTTCTTTTATTGTGCTGTGTTACAAACTACATTACGATTAAAAAATAAAATAATTAAAGTAATTTTATTATAGCATTTTTTTATCATAAATTTTAAACTAAAAATCGGTTTTACTAGTTGATGGCATATCCTGCAATGCCTTTATGCTCGATGGCATATTTTCATTTGCATTTTCATTTAAATTCGTTTTTGTTTCCAATTCCGATTCAGTTTTAATCTTTTTAAATGGTTTAACATCAACTAAAGGCGTTTCAAACTCATCTTTAGGACGTCGTTCTTTCACTGTTCTCTTACGATTTTTTAATGATTTTAAGATTTTTTCTCTTTTGGGCAACATTGCTAGAACATGTGGTGGGACCCAAGTTATCTCATCGTTATAAACTTTTGATGGCGTTTCCATTGTCGATGAAATACGATCTTTCATACGTTTTAGAACTTCTTCAACTTCCGGTGGATTGGTTTTTTTTGGTTCTATTGCACCAATATCTATTGGACGATATTTCATTCGAAAATGTTTTAATGCACGTTTTGCTAAATCTTTTGTCGGTAATTTACTACGTATTTCATTTGGTAAATTTTTTACAGTATCATCAAAAATTTTTGCTACACTTTCATCTGTTTGTCTTGCTCTCTCTTTCATTTTCATCATAACTTCTGTTACTTCTGGTGGATCTAAATCACTTGCAATATGATTATGTGGTCTTGTGCTTTTT